CAGCAGTGCTCTTAGAGACTCCGGCTTGCTGTATTCCCTTCCAGACGTTTCCCTTTGCGCACCCACTGCACACATTGATGGGTGAGACAGGCTTTCCAGGGTGTTTGCAGCACTTGGCACCAGAGTGGACACGACCGGAGTGAGTGGGGAAGGCCCTTTTTTTCCATGAAGTTCCCTGTGAATGAGGAGAGAGGGTGTAATCGATGAGGTCATTTGAGACAATGTTAACTACAGCGTATGAAATCAAACGGGGTGTGATGGGCCGGACAATAATTGCCGGAGGCCTGCTCCCATTAGAGCGGGTCACTGGAGGAAACCTTGTTGTAGGTGTTCGATCAGAGGAGCCCCGGCGGCTCCTGCGTGCGCATGTTTTTTGTTTCAGAGTCCTGGTCAACGGGAATCAAAGAAAACGTGGGTTTCACCACACTGTTTATTGTGGACCATTTTTGTAGCAAGGTGAACAAAGTCCTGTTGCCACGGGAGACCCACAACACAGCCATGCCTCTCCCGTAGATGAGAGATGCGACAGGTGGCACAGAGGGCTGGCACTCTGGTCACACAGATCCAGGTTCAGGGCCTGGCCCTGCTCTAAGCAGCCCTCGGGCCTTCGCTTCCCTTCCCCTCTCTGAGCTCTGTCCTCACTTCACTCTGTGCCCAGCAGCGGCACCTGCTTGACGGGCGACGGCAAACACCGAAGGAACATAAAAGCTCAGGCTCACCGCCAGCCAGTCCCTGCTGACTCGTAGTGACGTTCAAGGGCAGAGTGGACTGTCCCGTGGGCTTCCAAACTAACTCTGCATGGGGGTAGAACGCCAGCCCTGCCTTTCCCCGTGCTGCCACGGGAGACTGTGAATCGCAGCCCGATGCGTAACCACGCCGCCCCAGGCCTAGTGCACCGTAAAGACCAGCTCTTACTCCTGGGTGGTGCAAAAAGTTAGCACAGGTGGCTGCCAACCAAAAGGTTCAAGGTTCTAGCCCCTCCAGAGGTGATCTGGAGGAAAGGTCTGGCAATCAACATCCATAAAATGAGGCACTGAAAACCGGGGAGCACAGTTCTTCCCTGACTCCCAGGTGATCACTGAGTCAGACTGGGCATAACAGTACGTGGCTGTATCATTACTGCCAGTCATGCATTTACAGGTACAGAGTGCTTCCAAGCGTTCAAGGGGAAACCCGTTATCTTTCCATTCGGTTTCCCCCCACCAGCTTTACAAAGCCCCCTCTTATGCTGGACAAACCAATGGAGTTTAGTTCTCAGGCAGATTTTTTTTTTAATAAAGATTTTTTTCTTTCTTT